GCCAATATTACCCTGATACCAAAACTAGACTGTGATATCACAAGAAAACTACAGCCCAATCTTTCTTATGAATGTGTACATTAAAAATCCCATATAATATACTAGCAAACCGAATGCAGCAACACATAAACGTGATTGTACATCACAGCCAAGTGGGACTCAGACATGCAAGATCAGTTCAACACACAAAAATCAGTGTCATACACCATACTGACAGAATCCAGAACCACATGGTTATCTCAACAAACACAGGAAAGGCATTTGACAAAATTTGCTCTTTCATGATTAAAATACTCAATAGGCTAGAATAGAAGGGAACTTCCTCAACCTGATAAAGGGAAGCTACAAAAAGCCCATGGCTAACTTCATACTTAATGGTGAAAGACTGAAAACTTTCCCCCCAAGATCAGTAATACAACAAGGATATCCACACTCATCATTTCTATTCAGTATTGTACTGGAGGTGTTCACCAAAGCAATTAGGCGAAAGAATGAAATAAAATGCATCAGATTGGAAAGGAAAAATTAAAACTATCTGTATTTGAACTGGGCACAGTGGCACACACCTGTAGTCCAAGATACTTGGGAGGCAAAGAATCACTTAAACCCAGGAGTTCAAGGCTGCAGTGCCTCACAATCGCACCTGTGAATAGTCACTACACTCCAGCCTGGGCAATGTAGCAAGACCCTTATCTCTAAAAAACAAAACTATCTGTATTTGCAGATAACATGATGTTGTATATTAAAAGTCCTAAGAAATACACACACAATTAGTGTGAATAAACAAATGTAGCAAGGTTGCAGGATACAAGAACAAAAGATATAAATCAGTTGTATTTCTTTTTTTTTTTTGGATAGGGTCTCACTCTGTTGCCCAGGCCAGAGTGCAGTGGCATCATCATAGCTCACAGCAACCTCAGCCTCCTGAGTTTGAGCAATCCTCCGGCCTCAGCCTCCCAAGTAGCTGGGACTACAGGTGTGTGCCACCATGCCTGGCTAGTTTTTCTATTTTTGATAGAGACGGGGGTCTCACTCTTGCTCAGGCTGTTCTTGAACTCCTGGCCTCAGGCGATCCTTCCTCCTCAGCCTCCCAGAGTGCTGGGGTTACAGGCCGCCGCACCTGGCCATCCACAGTTCTTACTACCATCACCTGTACCACAGCTCAGCGGATTCCTACTTCAGGTTATACTGAGTTAGTGATTTCTAATCTTCTTCAAAAATATTCTCACCCGTAGTTGTTCCACATGGACTATTCACAGAGGCCAATTCTCAGCGTCTTCACACTTGGCACTGACCCCTTGAGCAGTGTTGGTGACATCTCTCGGCTCATCAAGAGCCAAGAGAAACCAGGTACAGCCACCTGCTTTATTTCCTCATTGGCTACTGATACTGCCCCCTTACAACCTCAACCCTTCAGGCGACCGTTCCCCAGTGGCTCAGTCTTCAAACGAGTTTATTTATCTGGATGTATTTCTTCCAGAGAAACTAACACAGCACTGGTCAATGGCTTTTCCTGCCTGGCTAACAAATGAGCCACTCACATAAGCGCCAACATCTGAAGCCCAGGTGTTTTCTTTTATTCACATGAGTATGCATCAATCATCTTTTTAAAAAGTCACGATATGGTCATAGGCATGGCATTTGCAAGTTATTAACTGTGTCACTGAGATCTGTAGCACAAAGCAGTGCCACACTGCTTATTCAGCCACTGTAGCATAAAACAGCCATGCGCACGCAGTATGTACGCACATGAGCAGGGCTGGGTTTCAATACAATTTTATGGACACTGAAATTTGAATTTCCTGTAATTTTCACAGGTCACATTCTTCATTTTTTAAACATTCAGAAATATAAAAGCCATTCTCAGTTCATGGCTCACAGGCAAGGGCCATAGTCTGCCAAACCCTGCAGCTGACCAGGAGAAAGTGAGCATTATTCACATTCCTCACCTGTTCTAATGAGGAAGAGCAAAGGCAGAGAGGAAGGGAGATGGGAAGGAATGGAGGGAGAGAAAGGAGACGGGAGAACTCCAAGTGCTGGTTCTTTGAAACTATCAAAGTCAAACATCTGACAAGTTTAATTCAGAAAAGAAAGAAAGCATAACGTTAAAAATGAGACATAAAAACAGATGTGGAGTTTTCCTAACCGCAAGAGAAAACTACTGGTATTACATATCAATCAAACTGAAAATCCTGATGACATTGGCAATACAGGGAATAACTACCAATTTACAGCTATGGGGGAAGTTTGTGGTTAAGCACAATCAGCTGGGTTCTGATTTGGATTCCATAGCAGCTCTGAACCTCTCATCGCCTTCCGGCTATCTTACAACACTCAGTTGCAGACACCTGAGAGCATGCAAAAAACGCTTGTCTAGAGAAACGCAAATAAAATGGTTAGGGACAGGTTTCAGTTGACTTTTCCTTACTGCAGAAGAAGCCAGTTTTGTGTCCATTTGTAAGTTCAACATTCCTTTACTCCAAATAAATTTGTCCTTCTTTGGCTTCTTTGAACTGATTGTAACATCGCAAGTTACCTCGTTGAGTTAAAAAAAAAAACCTTTAACATGTTCATTTTATTTCTATTTGCACGAGAATTACTTTACTTCACTTTTGTTGAAAATACCAAAGAACCACATAGAAAAACAAATTACCTCCAAAAGTTTCTGGGAGTACTTTCAAATCTTCAGTGAGCGTTGTATCCCTGACACAGAAGGCACAAGACCATCCAGTCTATTTTATACCAAGAGCATAAAATACTCTGGCCCAAGGAATCCAGGGGAGACAGCACGGAGGGCAAACCCGGTCCACCGGCCTGGGGAGCTCTGTGGGAACACCTGTCTGGCCCGCCCCATCCGGAAGCACATCAGTCCCCCGGGGGCGGTGGGGGGGGAGGGTTTGCAGGGGCGGGGCCTGGCCACCTGCCTTTAATGGCGTTCACAGGTAGCTCTGATGAGCACGAGGATTAGTTACTCAAGCCAGCTGGAGCCCCAGTGCAGCGCCCGTCCTCTTCCTTCTCCCCCCAAACCTCTCCACCTCTCACCTAAAACTTACCTACTGCCTGAGGTCTGAGGTGGGTGAGCCAGCAAGATGAAAACCACGGTGACACTGCCTCCCAGCGGAAGAGTGTGGAAAGCATCACAGCAAACCGCCCACTTACTGGTTTCATCATATTGGTGATTTTCTCGATCCAGCTCTGACTTTTCCCCCATACACAAAGCCCAATCCTACCTCAGCGTTGACACCAAAGACCTAGGGGGCGGGGAGAAGTTTCTTTATGCAGAGCTGTATTTAGAAGGCAAGAGAATTTGCTGACAACGCCTGACCCCACACCAAAAACTGTAAACGGAAGTTCGCTGTGAATCAACGAGGGAGAAAGCTCTTCCTTACAGAATACTGACGCGTAAACACGAAGGAAGGATGCTGTCAGAGCACCTTCAGCAGACGCTAAAGCTAGTGGGCAAAAAGATCACGAGGAACAGGACATTTAGCTTTGAAATGTCTCCTCACAGTTAACTAATTACGAAGGGGAAGTTCACAGTGGAGAAACCTGACGAGCACTTTCATCCAAGGGCTCAAAATAAACGTCATTAAAGAACGTGACGAGCTGGAATTCCCTGCCTGTCGGCATGCCAGGAACACAGCCCTGCTTCTCCGGTGTTCCTGCTGAAAAAGGTACATTAAATCTAATTGAAGGAAACATCAAACAAGCCCAAATGTTAGGACAGTCTACAAAATAATTGGCCAATACTTTTCAAATTTTGACCTCCAAGTAACAAAAGGAGGCTGAAGGGACGTGAAAACTACATGCGGTAAGCGACGCTGGGCCAGGGCAGCCAGCCAGCCAGAGGGACGTCACTGCGGTGATCACAGACTGTAAGTTATACAGTATTGTGACAATTACTGAACTCCTGATTTCGATCACTATACTATGGTTACTTAAAAAAAAAGGTTTTGTTCTTATAAGACACTGACATATTGAGGGCACATGGGCCCATCTCCAACTTACTGGGAAACGGGTCAGAAAAAATGTGTTCCTGTGTATGTGGGGGAGAACACGATAAAGCAAAGCGATTAGGACAAAATACGAGCAACCAGCAAATCTGGGTTGAGTATGTGGGAGTTCCTTGTACTATTCTTGCAACTTTTCTGTGAGTTTAAAATCCTTACCAAAATCAACTTAAAAAACGCATTCAAAAATTGCCTGCTGCACACATCTGCTCGCAGCAGCAGGTACGCAAGTAGCAGCAAAGGGCTGGAGCTTTGCAGCCACCCTGACCCGTGTTCAAACCTCAGCTTTGCCACTTCCGGCCACGTGATCTTGGACCCACAGACTCGTCTCCACCTGGGCCCACAACTGGACCAACTGGACAGACGAGGAGCCCTGACCTTTCCTCACTCCAGATCAGGCACCAGCCCGGCCCAGCCCGGCCCAGCCCCAGCCAAGCCGCCCCGGCTGCAGCGAGTGAGCTCTGCCTCCCGCTGCAAATGGCTGGAACATTCCAGCATGGATCCTCACACATCCACTCCAATTGTTGACAATCTCCTTCCTGTGCCTGAAGAACTGGGCTCAACACTGGACAGCTACAAAGACACCACCTGCCCCACCTCCCACTGACAAAGCCCAACCCCCACACAATCACCCTGCTGCTACCCATAAAGGCAGGCAGGTTGGCCCAAACTGTGGGCAGCCACCAGAGGCTGAAGAGCAAAGACCCTGCAAACCCAGGGTGGAGGTGGCAGCAGAGCAGCTTTCTGGGCTCACACTTGCTTTCTCCAGACACATGCCCAGGCTGTCCTCGGTGCTGGGATCCAGCTCACTGGGCAAGGCCTTTGCTCCTCTCCTGACTCAGCTGAACCCACTCCCCACGGACCACACAAAGTAGATCCCCCAAACCCCAGGCAACTGCCAGGAGAGCCAGTCAGCTAAACTTGTCCCCTTCAGAGAGAACTGCTGCCCTTAGCTCCACCACAGCCAACCGCACAGATGACACAGGCAAGGCTGCAGTCCCAAGTTTATTAAAATATTACAGCACAGAGAAGATTCAAACAGCTCCACGTGGTGTTTTGAAATTCATCCCAACTGTAGGCTGAGTGACCTGCAGGTTGGACAGACTGCCAAAGTCCTGGAACAACAAAATGGATTCAGTGTGAGCAGCATATTGGTGAGGTCTATGGTCAGAGCCCCAGTGCCACTGCCAGGCCATGCTTGCCAGCCTCCACCAGCTTGGGCAAGGCTGGTGGGGCCCAGCAGAAAACATAGGCTTCCTCCTCTCAAGGGCGTCCAGCGGAGACCTGAAGGGCCCCTCACTCCACTGCCAGCCACCAGGGGCCTTCCGTGCATCGATGCCTCCCACTTTCTCAGGATTGATCTTTCAACACACAGCTGACCACAGGGCACCCCACTTACACCACCCTCTGTGACTTTTCCCCATTCTGCCATGCTGTTTCTCTCCTTGTTCTCAGATCCCCTTCATAGGGCTCTAAAGCAGGATTTCTCCATCTTGGCACTACCGACATTCTGGGCTGGACAGTCTTTGTTCTATACAGGGGTGTCCTGTGCAATGTATAAAGCTTAGCACAACTTCTAGCCTCTACCCAGATGTCAGCTAGGATGATCCCCACCAGCTGTGACAACCAAAACCGTGCCTGGACATTGCCAAATATATCCTGTGGCAAAAGTCTGCCCCTGGGGGAACATACAGTGCCTCTTCCTTTCCAGATCAGAGTTATCACTAACCCACTGACACTTGTGAAGGGCCGGAGCACAGTGGAGGATGAGAGCTGGGCCTGCCCAAGCAAGCTCAGGCTAGTGAGTGGGAAGAAGAGCCGAAGGGCCCACTGTGTGCCTAGAACTTAATGTCCTATTCGAGTCTCAGAAACCCATTTTACAGTTCAAATTAAAAAGCTGCATTCAGGACAGTGGTTATTTCAGGAGGAAAAGACTCAGCAGGTGTTTGCTGTACGGATGTTCTTCTGAAGCTAGGTGGAAGGTACATGGAGTTCATTTTGTTCTTTATCATCTTTTTGAACATCCTAAACATTTAATGACCATAAAAAAAAAAGGAAAAATGGGAAGTTGTTCAAAATTACCAACAGCCTGCAGACTTTGAAGCCTATACTAATTTCACCAAACAATGTAAAAGGACTAAAATAAGCCACATAAGAGAAACACATCAAAGTGCATTGATACCTGCGAACTGTCTGAATACTGCCTGGCATGTTATGTGGAAATGAGACTACAGCTCTTTCCTGAGTGGTTTGCATAGAAACTTTTGTGTCTACAAGCAAAGAATTCTCCAAGGGAAAGCAGGCAAAATGAAGAACCAGGGCTGAAACAAAGGGGTCAATGCAAGCCAACCATTGAACCTAGAGAGAAAACCAGAGAGGAGGCCACTAGGTTTGGGAATTATGATCTTGTGCAGCAAACTCAACACATCCAACTTTCAATAACCAGCTAGCCCCGTTCGGAAAGCAGTCCAATTTAGTGGCAAGAAGTGTAGATGGGATTCCCAATTCTGCTATTTACTAGCTATGTAACCTTGGATTTGATAAAAGTTAGCTTATCAAAATTAACAGAAAACTCCCGATGGTTCCTGACCAAGGATGGCCCACTTTAGGAATCCAGCAGACACTTACCAAAAGTTTCAGCATCTCCTTAGTGTCAGGATCTACTTCGATGATCTCCTGATCCAGAGCTGAGACCTAAAAGGAGAAGAGATAGGCCCAAATGATCAATGAATGAGCTCTCTCACTTTCGCTTCTCCCAGATTCTTACGTAAGCAGACAGAAAAACAGGGTGGAGTGGAACAGGACCCCACAAGGTGAACAGTCTGCTACACTAACAGAGGTCCCAATGACCTGTTCTCTGGTTTTACCTTCCCATGTCCCCATTATTTATCTATTCAGTGTTCAGAAAACCTTAAGACTAGATTAAGACTAGGCTTCCGGAATACTACATCAGGGCAAACAAACGAGAAGGCATCAAAGCAGTTATCAAACAAACGTCATGAAAGGCTCTCGTGAAAAATGGAATGGACTATTTAACAGGCCCCGAGAGAGCAGAATTGAGCTTAACAGGTGGGCGGATTATAGGGACCTGGAGTTGGTGAAGGGGTGTGTGGCTAGAAGACGACCTCAGGTTCAGCTGAGGTCCCTCTGGAAGACAAGAACCTCAAAGCGGCCTCAGCAACCCACTGCTTTGTCATTTGAGAGCGAGCAAGAGGCCCCAAGACCCAGAAAGTTTACCTCTGGGACATAGTTATCTCTCCTCTCTCTCTCCTCCTCCTGCAGCTTGATGGAGATACCTCTCACTGGGCCTCTCTGGATCCGCTTCATCAGATGTGTGACGTAGCTACAAAGCACACAGGCCCAAGGAGAACAGTGAGAACGCACAGCCACTCCCACTGGTACCCAGAACGTGTGGATGTGTAAGTATAAATGCCAGTTTCGGTTCTTTTCCACAGTGAGAAGAGACGGCTCACCATCCTGGGCCCTCCTACGCACGCACCTTCTGCACACAGAGCTCCAGGCGCCTGGGCATGCGTTCCTGGCCTTTGGGCCTGTCACTCTATTCACACTCTCCTTCAAGGCTACCGACCCCCCACCCCCTTGAAAAACTTCCCCTGCTCTCGCAGCCTTCATTTTCTTTCCTCCAAGTTCAAATTCACAAAATTTAGCACTTAATACGTTGGCCTTTACTGTACATGAAGTCTTCCCAGCTATATTCTTACTAATCTTTTGAACAGTAACTGCAACAGTGAAAAACATTTATCAAAAGTGACACCCAAAAGCAACAAGGCTTCAAAGCAAAAGCTGTGACGGCGGCCACCATTCGGCCAAGCATCACCCCAGTCATGCGCCAGTCACGCCGCTAGGAAACCCTGCGCACGCAAACCCCCGGCTTTCCCTCGGAGCAGCGGGGGGCTCGTGCTACCCAAACCGCCACGGCACCAAGTCTCTTCGCGAGTCGGAGGGCAGCAGAGCCCACGCAAACCCGCGGGCCCACAGCTGTCCGTCTTCTCGCAGGCCCGGGAGGCCGAGCGCGGCCGCAACTCACCCTGCTATCTTGTTGCGGAGCTTCTTGCTGGGAATAATGGCGATCTCCTCGCACACGCGCTTGTTCGTGTGGAAGTCATTTCCCAGACGCGTGTAGTACTTCTCGATGATGACCCGGGCCGCCTTCTTCACGGTTTTGGTGCGAACGCGGCCCTGTGGGCGGAGAGGACAGGGTCACCGCGAGCCAGGGCTTGCTCCTGGGGCTCACAAGCCGGGCTGAGCCCGGGAGGAGGCACGGACCGGGCAGCGCGGGGCGCCGGGCCAGTGCGGAAGCCAGCAGCCCACTACGCTCCAGCCTGACAGGGCTCGCGCCCCCCGGGCCAGGGCCTCCCCTTGCGGGCTGAGGGGGCCACAGCAAGCGGCGGATGGAGGCTGATTGTGGAAGATACAAGCCCTAGGCCAAAACACCTACCATCTCGGCGGGTCCTCAGTAAAAGAGGAAACAGGAAGCACAAGAAAGGCCTATAAAGCGCAGGCCAGAAAGTCGCTTCCGCCCAGCCAGGGACGCGCGGGGCTCGCTTGAGAGTCCCACAGCGGCCCCTGGCGGAGCGGAGCGAAAGTGCAGGTAGCGGCCCCGGACGAACGTCTGTCCCGCCCCCTGCGGCCGAGGCTCCCCGCTCGGTCGTCTTGGGCGGGGTTCTCTCGCCTCCAACCTGTAACTGGATCGCCGGTTTGATGTGCTCGGGACTAAGGCGGGTGCATCTCGTCCTTGCACACCCGGGAAAGAAGGGGCGAGCTTGGGAAGACCGAGGCAGGCAGGAGACCCAGGGCCGTGGGAGAGCGAGGAGGTGGGGGATGAAGGCGCCCCCCCAGTCCGTGGTCAGAGACTTGTCACTCTGACCTGGCGGAGACACAGGTGCGTATGGGAGAGGTTTACCTCATTTCTTCCGGGTCTTTGCTCAAACGTCGCCTTAAGAGAGGGGCTTTCCTTCCAACTTATAAAACAGCTCCGTCGCTGTCCCTTTAACGCTCTTAATAGTGCCTCGCACTTGTCACTTGCCTTGCCTTAGTTTTCTCACCTAGGGGTGAGCTCCCTGACAGCAAGGACTATTCTGTCTAGCTGATCTCCAGTGCTTAGCACATAGGAGGCCCTCGAATATTGAAATGAATAAAGGGCCCGGTTCACTTGCAGAGCTCCCAAGGCGCCTTCTCCATCCACCATCTCCAGGCTGTTCCTACCATACCCAAGCCCAAACCAGGCCCTTCTGAAGCCACCAGTGCAAGCTGCCCCCACTGGCCTCATCAGCACAGGGAGGGCCCTGCTCCCTCTGCTCCTTGGGCTGACGGGAGTCCTAGGCCCCACCTGACTTAAAGTCTGGGCTGGCCAGGCTGGACGAGTTAAGAACTCTGCCCAGGGCTGTGCCTCGTCCCTCAACTCCCCTGGCCACTCCAGTCAGGCTCTTTCAAGTGAAGAACAGAAAGCCCTCACCCTGAAAGCACCTGGACAAGGCGAGGGGGAGAAGGGAAGCCTTTTCTCTAGAACAGCAGAGAGAGAGGGGACCAAAAGAAAGGGTCAGCATCTCCTCCGAGTTGCAGGAGCTTACTGCACCAGCAAACTGCCAAGCAAGCTGCTGCCAGGCCCACAACAAAGGCGCAGGCCGCTCACTCTTGGGGAATCCCCTGCCCTGCACCAAGTGCGTCCTTGCACCTCACACGAAGGGACGCTTTAGGATGCAGGGTTTCCTCCACTTCAGACTTAATTGGAGTCTCTCAAAAGATCAGTCCTAACAGCTAGGCTCAGGTCCACTTCACCGGAAAAAAAAAAAAAAAAAAATCAGCAGCAGACCCTGTGACAAATCCTGGGGACTGTGAGAGAGTCCAGGTGATAGGGCTCCCTGAAGAATAGCAAAAAGCAAATTGCTCCCTCTCAGAAAAGAACTGGGTCAGCACACGTCAGTCCAAGAGGATGAGAAGCCTCCCAAGAAGAAACACACCAAGGCTTCCAGGAAAAGCTGAGAACAAGTGGCTTCTGCAGACAGTGACACCGGAGCATCTGTGCTTCCAGCATTCTGCAAGCTGGACCTGGAGGCTGTGAGGAGCCCCAAAAAGCTTAAATGTGAGGGCTTTTTATACTTGGGCTAGAAGCATCCACCCACTGGAGAGCCATCTCCAGAAGTGCATTTGACCATGGAAGTGACCAAAAAGTACTCACAAGGACAAATCTCCCATATGATCCCAATTATTCCTGGGCTGGAATCCCATCACAGAAAATCCAAGGAAATGAGTTGTTACTTTGGAATCTTTTTACCCCATTACCCGCTTTGCTCCCAGACCTTAGACACAGAGACAAAACCACAACTCTGCTGCAACGTGTTTATTATGTGCCAAAAAAACTACACCACAGCTTACTCCACACATCTGTAGGAGAGTGCAGTCTTGCCTGCATATACTACAATGAGGTAGAGACTTCACACACAGCTTCACAAAACCCACAGAGTAGCTGGGATATGCAACAATGCAACATCAGCTCAGCGGGAGGGGGGGTGGGTTATGACACTGGTTCTTTGGCACACAGCTTCCCTAAGAGGGGCAAGTAATTTAAAAAAAAAAAAAAAGGAGAAAGAAAGGAAAAAGTCAAGTTTTCAAATTCCAGTAGCATTTCAGTCAACTGCAACTGTTGTTTCATACATTCCTCAAATGAAAAGCGTAAGGGATGGGTACTTGCCCCCTCTAAGAGAAAGGGCTCCTGTGAGCCTTCATCTGCCCCCACCAAAAGCAGCCCTTTTTTTTTTTTTTTAGCTCAGTTACAAAAGAAAAAAGTCCTGTGACTTTGTGATTAAAAACTTCTATCACCCCCCCTCACATAAGTGCAACTTAAGAAGGTGCAATAAACCATTTAAAACTATATACAGCAGCCGCTCAAACACCGTTTATCCGGTCCAGTTTCAAATAAAACAAAAACAATTTTTTTTTTCTTGGTTGCAAATGCCTTGATTCGCAACTGTGAGAAACAGTGACCAGCAGTCCCCCAGACACAAATTTGCTATAATGTTAAAAGCTGCCAGGAAAGAAAAAAATCTCTTGTTCCAAACGACTTAAAAACTGTTTTAAGGAGTGTAAAAAGGAACCGGTAAAAACCCTCGAGCGTAAAATATGAAATATGATTTTGGTTTAAATGAAGAGCAAAGTCTCCTTGTTGTTTACAGTAAAAAACACCAGCTGAACACTCAGTTTATGCCGTTCAGGTGGGGGTAAATAAATGGAAAGGCACTGTATGGCAACTGCAAGAATGAAACCAATGAGACCTGCACATCATCACCATCAGTATTGCAAGGAATGTAAAAAAAGCGCTTTAATAAATAAACCTAGATGTAGGCATCCGTGTCAATACCTTCTGGACACGTAGTTCTTTTTTTGCTTTTTCATCGGCAAAATGAGGAACTAAAATCTGGGAAAACTACAGAGTCGCTTGGAGGGTGAGCCAGAGGGTCCTTGCCCTGGCACACCCCCTGAAAACAAAACCCGACAAAACTCATTGTGCATTAGTTAGTGCAGAAACAAAGACAGATTCAGCAAGTGCAAAGGTGACTACGAGTTTCCCTTGTCCTCGGGAAGCTGGCTTCCTGGTCGCCAGTGGCAGGGTGGTGCAGGCTGCTGCCTGACCTGCCAGCTTTGGGCGCCACAGGCTGCCGGGCGAGGCCAGCTCCTCTAGCTGGAATCTCGGTTCTTCTGGTTCCTCATCAGGGGGCTGTGGTGGCGCAGGCCCTCCATGCTGTGCCGCCAGTGCCAGCAGCTCCGGCAGAAGTATTTGAAGCAGACCTGGGTTGGGGGAACAAAAAGAGGGATGCCACGCCTGGGTAGCACCAGCCACAGGAGCTGCTGCACAAGTGGCTTGCTCTGCCGACAGCCACTGTGGCGTCAGAAGAGACTGTCCCCCTGGGGCCCTCTCACCCCAACACGGAAGTCTGACCAATCATGACAAATCCAACGTCAGTGTTTCTATGGGCACCCTTAAACATGCTGGGCTCCTACTGTGTACGAAGACTGCGCCAGCTTCCCTCATCCCCTCTAACCACTACAGCTGCTCTCCTATTGCCCTGCCCTTCTCACCTCCTACAGAGTAGCTGCATCACACAGCTGCTAATGTGGGAGAACGTTTAAAGACACTGACTACAGATTCTAAAGCTAGGCAACATGGCTTCTTCTTCCCACTAACAGAGGTGACTGGGTTAAGTGCCTCAGGCTCAGTCGCCCTCTTGCTATGTAACCTCAGGCAAGCCACTGACCTGAGCAATTGTCTGAAAATGGAGGTCATCTGTGAAAGATGCTGATCCATAAAAGCCTGCTAGAAGAGGCTGATCAGAGAGAGACTTGTTCTCAGGCTTTAACTAAAAATCCAAACTTCAAACTCTCACTTGGGAGCCTCAGTTGAACTACCAAAACCTGAGCAACAGCATCGCTGTGCAACAAAAAAAAAAAAAAGAAAAGAAAGAAAGAAAAGCCTCTACTAAGCATGGATGGACTGCTACTGTCTTAAAAGGCCCCAAACTCCCCCTAAAACTTATCAAAGTATGATGAAGATCAGCAACACTGACACCAACTGGAAACTAGTTAGAAACACAGAATCTCAGGCTCTTCCCAAACCCCGCTGAATCAGAATCTGCTTCAAGTAAGACCCTCAGGTGATGTGCACAGTGACGTCTGAGAAGCACTGCCAAACACACCCATGCTCCACCACCCAGAAACATTCACTGGGAAGCTGCCAACTGCCTTCTGCCGCCTCTTTTTGCACCTGTGTGTACAGCCCAGGTGCAAATTTCAAAGCAGTCCAGAGGTTCGCAGAAAAAGAAGAGGGTCCTTGGGTAGAGAAAAATCAGTCTAGAAGGCCTCAGAGTTATAGCAGCAGCACCTGGCTCATAGGTCCTGCTGGCCACACCCACCCAGGTTTCTATCATCTACAAAAACCCTCAGTGAGCAATAGTGCCATACTGCACAGCAACATCTCAGCAGGGAGCAGGCCTAAGTATCAAGATTCGATTCCACAAGCTTTCCCAAAAGTTCTGGGTCAAGCGTACTATAAAATATTACTGCCATCTGCTCTATGCTCTCAGACATCATGAAGTACACCTTACAATGCCAACATTCAATGTCATGAACTTGGCACTACAATTTTTAATTGAGGGCAGGGACTTCAGACTTCTCATTGCCCAGGGGACTTACCTGATCTCGGCAGA